TAGCCTTCTTAGACTGTGAGATTTCCATCAGTAATGGGGGACATCTAAAAGCTGACGTGTACCGTACATACGGATCAGTATCTAAGGTTTGACTCTCATCATCCACTGGAGGACAAACTGGGCGTCATCAGGACGCTACAACACAGAGCGAACACCATCCCCACAGACACAGTGGCCAGGGAGGCAGAAGAACATCAAGAAGGCTCTGAGTAAATGTGGTTATCCCAGCTGGACTTTTGTCAAAGCTGGAAAGGCTCCTAAAGAAAGCTCCAGCCGATCCAGGAGAGAAGGACAACCGCTGCCCAAGCAGAAACCTGTAGTGATCCCATATGTGTCAGGAGTATCGGCTCAGTGCTTTATGGTTCGATCCCAGTCTGCATGGGCAAGATGCTAACCCCAAGTTGCTCTCCCATGCATCCATTGGAGTAGGAATGCATATGAGTGTTAGATAGAAAGCACTTATATAGCGCTCAGGTGAAGTAGACGCGCTATATAAAAACCAGTTCTTTTACCAAACTGACTGTAAAGTTAATCTGCTTTGCATTTAAAACTTAATTTTAACTTTTTATATTCTAACAGGTGAAACTAACCATAAAGCTATCAAAAAAATTTGAAACTACAAAAGTCAAAGTTTTGTGAAGAAATCTCTTATTGCTCTTTTCCACTACTACCTACTCAGTGATCCTGTAGTCATATTGGACATCAAATGCACATCGGTCAACACCAAAAACGATTTAATCTTAGCTGCCACTGACAAGTTTTTCATACCTCTGCTTTAGGAAAATAAGCAACACTACGAACACCTCGGTATTACTGGAAAATTGTGCTTAGGCTATCAAAAGTAACACAGGTAAAATAGGGGAACAGTGTGTTTAGGGCACAGGCAGGGAGATGGACACGCCTGCATGGCAGGGAGAGCTGCAGTCTCCAGTCAGATTAAAATAAGCGCAGCTTGCAATGTCCGACTGAGGCCACAAGGGGCCAGTAATGCAAAGGACTGAGGAGGAGCTTTAGGACAGTGCTGTCCAACATGAAAGGAGAGCAACTGCTTTATTTTGGCACATTTTAATTCATGTATATTATTAGATTTGACAATGCAAGAAGTGCTGCCACTGATTTGCACAAAATCTCTAAAATTAAAAACATCCTGTCTCAGAGTGATGCTGAATAACTAGTTCATGCGCACATAAGACCACTGAGATGGTGATCAACCTTAGAAGGAAAAAAAGAGCTGGGTCAGCACTAGGGATGGGTATCGTTTAGGGTTTATCCAATACCAGTACCAAACCGGTACTTTTGAAATGGTGCCGGTGCTTAAACGGTGCTCAAAGAATGGAGAACACAAACTTTGTCCAAAAACCTCATGTTCAGCTGTTTTTTGTAAAAAGATAACAATGTTAGCCTTTTCTGCAGCTATGGGGCATATATGGTATCACTCTTGGCTGGAAGCAGTGCTTAATCAATGGAAAAAACACAAACTTTGTCCAAAAACCTCTCATGTTTAACTGTTTTCCACTTTTTCTTTGGTCATTTTAGCCTTTTTGGCCAGGGTGAAGGGAGTATCTGCCATCAAACAAGAAGACAGCCGCATGTAGCTATGATGATGTTTGCTAGTTCACCTTACATGCATTTATGTAATAACGTGGTTAGCCTACTCAACGTAAATTATACACGAACAACATTAAGCTACTCACGCAGAGAAGAACGGCTGCTGCTGCATCATCATCCTCATCATTTCTGCTACACTGGCAGGGCTAGGGGCCAGGACTCTCCTCTTCGGGTTTTTGGGGGATGTTGCTAACTCCGGGTCTGATAACAGGCACCACACCCACAGTAGATGTGCTCGGTGTGAGGTCTCGCAGCAAGCTATCAAATACGGCGCATTTCTCTGCTTTTAACAAAACGCTATGCGTCGCCAGGTGTTTCATCAGATTCGAGGTGTTACCTCCTTTGACAGTATCACAGTATCATCTTAAAGCACTTGTTGCTGCTGAGTTTGCATCTTTTGCTGTGAAGTACAGCCAGACTTTGACCGCTTCGCCTTGGACATTTTCAATCTGTAGTTCTTCTCTAAAAGAACCTACGTACCTGGCCCCGCCTACTACGCTTGCAAAGGTAAAATGATTGGCTAGAATCCAAAGTGTGTGACATCTCAGGAAAAAAAAGCACCGAAATAAAGCACCGAAATGTGCGCTGCTTTTCTGGTTACTACCGTTTATGTCAGAACCGGTGCCATGATACCGGTACCCATCCCTAGTCAGCACCCATTACAATGTTCCGGTCTTTCTGAGTTGACTTAGACGGTCTTCTTGTTTTGCATTTGCTTGAAAAACACTACCTGCATGTAGTTTGTTTGGTCCTTGTGTACAGTTTGTGTTGGGAGCTGGATGTTTCTTGGTGTTGGTGATTAGTGGATTTGATTTTCAAATCTTTTGTAGAAAATCCTACCCCATCTCAGGCTTCATTATGAAGTCATGTTACAATGTTTTCAGATGTTGCCAATAAAAAGCATGTAATGCGTGAAAAAGCACTTGAGTAAATCAGTTTTTTCTTATCGCTGCTAGCAGTGAAAGTGAAGAACAAACACAGCAAAAAAAGACGTTAGTTTCAATGTATTTTATTCTTTACTGTAGAAACACTGTACATAAATTACTTTCTCTGAGACTAATATTGATGTACGTATAAGTGGAATTCATCAACCTCCGAAATAAAGAAAAAGATAAACCATAAAACATTGTCAACTTGTCATAACTGTCGTTGAAAAAAAGATCGGTAGCATATGAGGTTAACTCTCTGTGGAAAGTTCCTGCTCTTTCCTTCCAAATGACTAAAGTTACTTTTCAACCTTATAAACACACATACGCACAATGGAAACTCTAAAGGAGTACAGAGACCCACAATCAATGAGTAAACATCCACATTGATCTTTGATCTATTACTGTTACTCGTTAATGTCACTGATGGCAATGCACTGTCCCTTTAAAGATAAACAAGCAAAAATAAAGGGAGAAGCAACGATTTGTTACTACTCACAGCAATCCTGTCCCCCACCCCTCCCACCCAAAGCCATGATAACATGTTTCTATTGCAAGCAATACTACTACCTGTGACTGAGAAAAGCACAAGTCTATTTGTTATGAGGCCGAGTCACATTTTGTAAAAGTGAATAACACCTGGGCAGCCAGGGTACCAGGGGTTTATAGGACCAATGTACATCCACGCAAACACAACGGTGGCCCTACAGTCGCCCTGGTTCTTCACATACGTCAGTTTGACTGTGGTCTCTCTAAATTTGTAGAACTTGTTAGAGCACAGAATGGGAAGAAGTGGCTTTTAAGTAAAAACACAAATCAAAGTTTGTCTTTGTTCAGGTCATATAATGGTCCATTCCAGTGGTGACGGTGCAGTAAAAGTAGTAATAGTGGTATAAGTAATACTATGTAAAAATGTTTTTGTTAATTTTCATATACCCTTTTTGTCTGAAGCAACAGCAAGTTTATATAAAGAAAAAAACTCAAAGAGAAAATCAGTTTATTTTTTTCAGCTTTCATACAAAGTTGAATTTTTGTGCCTGTCCTTCTTAGAGAGTCCACGACGGTGGTTCCACTCAGTTGCTTCAGCCATGGACACGACAGAGCCTACAGACGTGGCTCCCAACAGAGATACGACACCTGCAACATCTCTTAGGGATGCACAGATGGCGATTACACTGACAGTTACCAGCTGTTGAAACGCTTGCAAGCTCATGTGACTGTAAAGTCCTCAGTCGGCCGCTTGAACGAGTCTCTACATCCCACTGTTTGATAGCTAGCTAGCACACAAATATAGCAGTCGGGTTATAGCCCCCACCTTTCACGAAAGGCGGCGGGGATGGGGGGTCATGCGTGCAAGCTGTTCGAAGGCAGACGACCGGGTGAAAAAAAGAGAAAGCGAGATAGAGAAAAAGAACATGACTGAAAAAAGGAACCTTTATCCGGGTTTGCAGACCATCAAACTGCAGCCGTGTTTCGGGTCAGCTGCACTGAAGTGATTGTTACATCATCAGTCTAGAAATCCCATTTTAACATTTTGATCCCAAAAAAAGGGATCGCGGGATCTCTTCAGTGGCTTGGTTTCAGTCTGTGACATCCATGTTTGAAAAGCTTTTGTTAGTCTCTGACAGTCAGTGGGCGGGATCATTGGATTCTGTTAATGCCGTGTTACCTCCTCCCTATCTCACTCTGCCGTAGGAACTGGATGTTGTTAGCGCTGTCGGCTAGCTCGGGGTACTGCTCTATAGACAGTACGTAGTATCCATCATAACCCAAAACCTTCCCGCTGCTTAGCAGCTGCCTCTTTTCTCCCTCCGTCCATAGCCGTACTCCTTCTTCCCCGTCTCTCACTCGCTGTTGTTCGCGCGCCCAGGCACTCGACAGCGCCCTCTGCCTTGCTTGTTCCAGGATTCGCGCTTTCTCCTCATCCAGCGTCGTCCCGTAACGCACGTGAAGTGTCAGGGCGCCGTACTGGAGCTCCACATCAGCAAAACGCCGCGTTCTCCCATTCATGACTGTTGTGGACTGGGATACTGTGACGTTTACTCCATTTTCTAGTGACTTCCTCCCCGAGGTGAGCCGCAGTGCGCTGAGGTCATTCTCAGGCAGGCTGGTCTTGATGAAGTAGTGCGTGTCTCTTCCCTCCACTGTGAAATGCAAGCCCTCAAGGTAAAAGGCATTATTTAGGACAGCAGCCACCTTGATGCAGTCCTCGTTGGCGATGTTTAGAGCACTGGTCACAACGCGACCTTGGATCACGGCGAGCATCACTCCCTTTCCTATCAGAGACTTGACAGTGGCAAACCACAGCCAAGGCTTGTTGTGGTCTGAATGTCGCCGACTGAGCTGAATTTCTGGCATGCGCTCAAACGACAGAAAGGCCTGAGACTGACGGGTCACTTCCTGCTGGACGCCTGAGATAGACTGTGGAGAAAAAGCAGAAAAGGTGTCTGAAAATGTGACTCACAATCATTGTCGGCTGCATCTAGGTGTGTGGACTCAATCGATCATTGCTGCTCCAAGTCATACAAATTCTGTTCAATTCAATTTGATTTATGTAGCGTGAAAACACAACAACGCTTTATATGATCAAGTAAAAACCCGACAATAATGAAGAGAAATAGAGAGAAGTCGTGTTTCAGGTCATAGAGAGAAAAGCCCAATAATAGAGAGCAAACACTTGGTGATGGTGGGAAGGAAAAACTCCCTTTTAACAGGAAGAAAGCTCCGGCTGAAGCAGGCTCAGGGAGAAGGACAGCACGAAGTCTCTCCCGCTTCTTTATCTTTTTCTCTTTCAGTTTCTCTCTTGAAACGGCCACTTCTATTTCTGTCGTGTCCTTCATTAATCGCTGAGTTAACGTCAGCGTCTCTACGTCAGCGTCTCTACGTCAGCGCCTCTACGTCAGCGCCTTTACGTCAGCGCCTTTACGTCAGCGTCTCTACGTCAGCGTCTCTACGTCAGCG